TTAGCAGTTGGTTCTGGCTCAAGGTCTCTCAGGCTCAAATGAGGGAGGATCCACATACAAGCTCACTCTCATTGTTGTCAGCAGGCCTTAGAACACCTGCTTCCAAGTTACTCAAGCAACTTTGGCCAGAGACATCAATTTCTTGGCCACGAGGGCCTGTCCTCGTGGAGCTGCTCACAACATGGCAACTTGCTCACCCCAAAGCGGGATATCTGAGTGAGAGCCCCCCAAACAGAAGCCACAGTCTTTTTATAACCCAGCTTTGGGAGTGACATCCCATTACTTCTGCCAAATTCTGTTCCTTAAAAATGAGTCACTAAATTCAGCCCATACTCAGTGGATTACAGATTACAGAAGGGGATGCATACCAGGAGGTGGGATCATTGTGGACCATCTTAGAGGCTGCCCACCACACTGTCCTTTAAAGTTTACAACTTTTGGTGGTTGTTGTAGAATTCTATCTTGAAAGAGAAGCTTTGGGGGAAATCCAAAATATAGAATAGCTAAATGGAGAGCTGTTCTGTCAGAGCAGGAGTTCTGGGGAACTAGAGCTTACCTGCTAGCATCCCTCCCCTTCGGCTTTTCCAAACAGTTTGGGTATTTCCCATCAAATGTCAGTCAAGAACAGGAATAGATACTGTTTTTCTCATATTTCGTTTTAGAATTTGTTAGCAGTTGCCATTCTAAAATTCTAGCTTATAAAAATCAGGTATTACAATGTAGAAAACGATTTGTATAAATGTTTATGGCAACTTTTCAAGTCTGAGTAGCTTCCTTTGCTAAAGAACATCTAACGTAATGACTGATTTTGTAGTAGTAGCAGATATAATTTATATATTGGTGTGATAATGATAGGGTTTTACTTAATAACTACTATCTAGAATGTTTTATTAACTATTTCCAAATTATGTGTATTTTTAAAAAATCACAAGTGTATAGTGGTATTTGCAGTTCAATTTTTTTTTTTTTTTTTTAAAGATTTTATTTATTCATTTTTTCCCCCCAAAGCCCCAGTAGATAGTTGTATGTCGTAGGTTCACATCCTTCTAGTTGCTGTACGCGGGACCCGGCCCCGGGTTGGACGGAGATGTGGTGCCTCGGGGCGCGCCCGGGATCCGAACCCGGGCCGCCAGCATCAGAGCGCGCGCACTTAACCGCTAAGCCACGGAGCCGGCCCTGCAGTTCAATTTTAATATTAATGTATTCTTGTAGCTCTTTGATGCTGCAAATCGTGATTCCTAATCAATAACATAAATTACTTATTTTCTTTATCTTGCAATATAAAGAATATAGTTTCAAAATAATAGTACCAAGATTAATACAAATAATAAATCTCTAAAGTTTAGAATTTCTTTATAGTTCTTTTAGTTCTTAGGATACATCCCTTTAAAGATGTATAAAATCATTTGAAAATAACTTCATTTCTGGGTAGTTATGTTAACAGTTTGATAAAGTTTAGATTCCAAGCATTGTTTCTAAACGCTTTACTTACATTAACTAACTTAATCCTCACAACTGCCCTGTGAAGTAGGTTCTGTTGTTATCCCTATTTCACAGATGAGTATAGTTTTTGCCATCTTTATTTTAGGCTAATTTGCATTAACAAGAAAATGGTACTGTTTTGTTTGTTTCTTTATGGGTTGATAGGGGGAAGTAGTAGATAAAACTGAGGGAAAGGAAAATTTTGATTAGGAAATGAGATGGTATTGATAATTTGGGGACCCTGAGGGTGGTATAAGTATATCATGGCACTGAAAAGAGAGATAAGACACAATAGACTCACTAAATTTTGGTCAAATGTATTTAAAAAAAAAAAACCTAATACCAAAGTGCCAGTCTTATTATTTCTGTTTTGTAACTGCTGTGCCCTATAGAACTTTTCCCTTTTGGATGATAATGAGAGGGAGGATCTAGCTAGGAAAAACCAAATAAAGTGAGATTCTATACTTTACCTAGACTATCTGATGAGCTGTTTAAGGAGCAAAAAAGAAGACAGTTGCTATAAATAACATTACTTAATAAGTAAATTTATAATTCACTTTTGACCTTATTTTGGTTAATTGAGGTTCAACACAATTATATGTACACACACCCATCCCCCCATTTCATATATGAACCATCAATAATGTCACTTAAATAGGTGTGAATATGTGTATAATATTTTATTACACTGTTACAGGATTCCAAGTCCAGGATTTACCCTGAACAACTTTTCAGAACCATAATACTTTACATTAAAATTTTAGATGTTAATTAAAAATTAGAAAATAATGTACCTGGAATCATCAAAACCAGTTGAAATTTAAGTTGCTTCTAGCCGAAATATAATGTCCAAACCAGTAGGTAGTAGTGGAAGTGAAAGATAGCTACCACATTTTTTTCTGAGCAGTTTTTGTGTGTGTGTGTGTGTGTGTGTGTGTGTGTGTGTGAGTGTGTGAGAGGAAGATCAGCCCTGAGCTAACATCCATGCTAATCCTCCTCTTTTTGCTGAGGAAGACCGGCTCTGAGCTAACATCTATTGCCAATCCTCCTCCTTTTTTTTTTTTTATCCCCAAAGCCCCAGTAGATAGTTGTATGTCATGGTTGCACATCCTTCTAGCGGCTGTATGTGGGACGCGGCCTCAGCATGGCCGGAGAAGCGGTGCGTCGGTGTGCACCGGGGATCCAAACCCAGGCCACCAGTAGCAGAGCACGTGCACTTAACCGCTAAGCCATGGGGCCGGCCCCTGAGCAGTTTTTTCATAAGTTCAGGTAGATTTTGTGGAGTAGGGTTTCATTAGTGAAATGCTTGATTTGGTCTTGATTATTAAGGGGAGTACCTTTTTGTGGATGAGCTTTATAATTATTAGAGCTTACACAGGATACTGTTATTTTTTGGTGAGGAAGATTGGCCCTGAGCTAACATCTGTGCCCGTCTTCCTCTATTTTATATATGGGACGCCACCACAGCATGGCTTGATGAGTAGTGCGTAGGTCCGTGCCTGGGATCTGAACCTGCGAACTCCGGGCTGCTGAAGTGGAGCGTGCGAACTTAACCACTACGCCACCGGGCCGGCCCCAACACAAGATACTTTTGAATAGAGCATCCTAATTTCTGGAATTTCTTTTCTAAGCTATTCTGATAAAATCCATCTTAGGGGAGCTTATGGCACGATAACAACAACAAACATAGCTTTCAATGCTGGTCTGTAAGTGTCCTTTTTGGTTACTTTAAAATATTTTCAAGGTATTTTAATTCTCTTAAATTATTTAAAAAAATGCACTTGATTCTATCCTGAGTCTAAATGGAGACTGCATTTGCTATAAATAAAAATTGGAAATTATTGTTTAGTTCTTAATGATATCTTTTATACTAGCTTATATAACCATAAGGATGAAATATTTGGATTATTGCCCCTCTATCTGTTTATCAATCCAACATGTAGGACCTTTGTGCCATGTACTTGCTCATTCTTCAGGGAATAGACGTTAACTAGGAATCTAGAAACGTTAACTAGATGACCCTTTTAACTAATGCACTAATTACTATTATTTTTTAAAATTCAGATTTATAGATAAATGGATGTAGTTTACCCAAGACAGTTTGTATATTAAAATTAAGTAGGAATCTAGCAAAAATCTTGACATGTGTGCTATCAACCTTTACTAAGTACAAATATTACCTCATAACAAGGTTGAAATGTAAGATTTTCATTAGAATTACAATTTCAATTTGTTTTTGTTGAATAATGATTTTATATACCATCTTATCCTATTTGCTTGGAAAGCAAAGGAAAAGTTATACGTTATTTTAATTTGTTTCCATAGAGTGAAGAACCATGAAATGGTACTTTTCTTGAAGGTAGGGTATGATTACTTAGCAACATAATGATAAAGGGGAGGAGTATTACTGAAACCTGTCTGTATCTTCAGCAGGAGCTAGTGTTGAAGTCATTGCTGCTGTGGCACATTAAAACGAACATGTTCCTGGTTAATATGTGTTGAGTTAAAGGTAATAGGATAAATTCATGTGAGCTTGAAGGTTAAAGTTCTGTTGAGGAGACCTTTTTTTCTTATGTTAGAAATAGTTTTGTTTTTTTAATGACAGATCTGTTTTTAGGTAGTTGTTTTAAAAGTATAACACTTATGGGCCGGCCCCGTGGCTTAGTGGTTAAGTGCGCGCGCTCCGCTGCTGGCGGCCCGGGTTCGGATCCCGGGTGCGCAGGAGACACGCTTCTCCGGCCATGCTGAGGCCGCGTCCCACATACAGCAACTAGAAGGATGTGCAGCTATGACATACAACTATCTACTGGGGCTTTGGGGGAAAAAATAAAATAAAATTATTAAAAAAAAAAAAAGTATAACACTTAATAAAAAATATTACTATACTGCTTTGTACAAGGATTTAAATTAAAATTAAAATCAGCATTATTATTTATCAGTGGCCTGGTATACTTTTATATATGTGTGTGTGGTTGGTTTGTCATACATGACAACTGGTTATTTTAAAGACTTATTGAGTGATAAATAGGAATTGTATTGATGCTTTTTATCTGAAGTTGTGTAGATTGTTAGTCTACCATGATGGCCTCTACACCAATATTTGGTAAATGTTAATGACAGTGGCTAGTTAAGAAACAGCAGATATTGATCAACTAATTATCCTTGATGGTGGTGTTTCAGTGAAATGGAATAGTCTGATAACTGATATTTTTGTATATTAAAATAAAGCTGCCATTGTAGTGGAAATTTAAAAATGAAACCATTCAAATCATTTTCTTTTCCTTGTGTTTCTGATAAGGCCAGAAGTTTCTGTTGACATTGTAGTTAGTACATTGTTTCTGTATTTGCTTTGGTGCATGCGTATGTAGTTATCTGGTGAATTTACAACCCTTTCCCCTGTAGTTCTACATGTATTAATAATCTCAAATAAAATTAAATAATCTTCTTATTCTGATAGAGAAGAAAAAGCTGGATCACTTACCAGTAACTGGAGTTCTCCTATTGGGTAATCTCCACAGATCCACATTCTTTGAAGTTATTGTGAATGCCTCGAGGACCAAGGAACCGTTGAAATTTCCAATTTCAGGAAGGTAAGCAAGTGCGCTGAAGCATGTCTCTAGCATCTCCCAAATCCCCTCCCCCAACTTTCTTACATATACGTCTGTACTGCATGCCCCCTCAGTTCCAGTGGCTGCCCATCAGGAAGATTCTCATGCTGGACAGAAGGGCAAGAGAGGTGGATCTGTGAGGGAAAAGACCCAATAGGATAACTCAAGTTACTGGTAAGTAATCTAGTTTTCACAAACGAGATATTTTTCTCACGTTTTTTCTCTTTAGAAGGAGTCTGTTTAATTGTAAAGAAAGGAAGTTGTTTGGGATAGGTTTTTTTTGTGAGGTTGGTTTGGATTATGGAATTTATTATATGGATGATAAATACCTAGTTCTTAATGGGTGTATGAATAAACGTGACATTAATTTTAAAAGGTATCATTTACTTAATAACTTTATAAAAATTATATGTTTATTACCTTTTGGTAAATCATATAATAGTTCTGAAGCTATTTAAGGAAGCTATATGTTGAAATATTTTGTAAATTTTTTAATTCGTGATGTTGCTTTTATTGAAGTAAATACCTGTAATGTAAAATTTATGCTTATGCCAAATTTGGCCGAATTCTTTTGTCATTGTACTGAATAGCAAGAATAGTTTTATATTAATTGACTAGCACCTCTTACTGACATAGTTTTCGATGTGCCTTTTAACTTCAATGAAGGTATATTTGGAAAATAATTCAGGGTATGTTGCAGTTCTATTTACCACTTCTTTGTTCATAATGGATGGGCTTATTGAGGTGAAGGGTGGCACAGTTGGTTCCGTGTGAGCTCTCTGGTTCCTCAGGTACCAGATAATTTATTGAGCTGGTGTGTAAATGTTAGACTTGGACAGAGTTCCTTACTTCTCATCTCCCTCTCACTCATACTGCATTGTTACCAGGTTGCAGTTTCTAAAAGGACACTTTTAGCACATAAAGAGCCTGTAGTGGTGTCCTGCTCTAGCTGTTTTATAAAATTGTCATCCGTTTGCTGGGTATTTAAGGCCTCTCATAGTCCACTCCCATTCTATTTATCCAGCTTTGATTTCTTCAATTTGAAACTTTTGTTTTGGGCTTAGCTGGATGCTGGTCATATTTATGCTTTGGCTTGTGCTTTTCCATTTTCTTGAAATGACCTTCTTTCCATTCTACTTTTCTATACTTTAAGGTTGAGATAAGTCCTACCCCTTACATAAATTCTTTTATGCTAGCATTTCTCTGTTACCTCTGTTTCCTCAGTGGAAAAATGAGATTGCTTTGAGGATTGAATTAATTAATTCATGGAATATACTTAGACCAGTGCCTATTGGCACATAGCAAACATTCTTATTCGCTGTTATTTGATTGTAGATTGATCTTAAACATTTCTGTGATTATAGATGTAATTCTTATCTGTATGACACAGTTTAGCCTTAAAATACTAGCTTCAGATTGTATTGCTGTTTCTTCTGATATAAAACTCTTAAGCTGACTTGTGTGGTATTTTTGAGCAAGGATAGGGTTTTATTGTTTTTTATCTTGCTTAGTTCCTAACATCTGGGACTGAGATTAAATCATACCGACTGAAAAATTGGTTTTTCGTGGAGATTCATGAATATACTTACCAGTTTTTTCATGTATAAAACAGGTTAATTTGGCTCATCAGTCCTATTTGTACTGTATGTTTTTCTTAAGAACAATTTTTTTCCTTTAAAACTGGTACAGTGAAATTATAGTTGTTTAGTACAATATAAATTTCTTTTATGTCATGTAAAAAAGGAGTGTGTAGTTTTGAGAGAGTTAATTAGATCAATTGGCTTCACTTTAAGACTCTGTGTAGTGTTAGAAAACAAACTGGAAATTCAGTATACTTGATTTTTGAGGTTTGAATAACTTAGAAGATTATCGCTTGATTTTCAGAAATGCTTGGATTTAAGAATACTTGTCCGATGAAGCAGTAAATGAAATCTAATTTCAAGGTCATCGAAGGAAGGAAATGCGCTTTGACAGATTGTCACTTCTGAATAATCAGCAGAGAACCAGTTCAGGTCCAATTAGACAAGCCAAGATAAAGAACATTTAGATGACTTAAGTGCTTGTTTTGAGTCTACTTTCCCACATCCCTCTAAGAGACTGTTCAATCTCATGGTTTCTTTGGTGTGATAATGGTATGGTGGTAATATTGAGAATGACCTTATTCTTTTAGAGATACATGGTGAAATATTTACAAGGGAAATATGATGGGTTCAGGAATGGGTTCAGAAGAAAAAGTGTGTGGGTATTTGGATGTAGTGTATATGTATTTGTATATATAGAGAGATAAGGCAAATGTGGCACATGTTGACAATTTTGAATCTAGGAGAAGGGTATATGGATATACATTGTACTTTCGACTTTTCTGTGACTTTGATATTTTTCAAAAAAAACTTGGGGAGAAAGTATTTTAAAAAGAACTTTATCATGCTTCAGTTTCTCTAATTCTAAAATGGGAAAAATAGAACTTGTTCTTTCTGTGCCTTGATGCAGGCAGGCACAGTGGGATGACATTTGGTAGAATAGCAGTCAAGAGAACTTTTAAGAAGTGGGGTTTTTTTGGACATGAAAAAAGAGTTTTATAGTGAGAACTTTTCAAAGAAAAGTTGAAAGTGAAAATGGTGAAATGGTCTGTTTTCTAGGAAGAAATCGTTCCAAAATTGACTGTACAAGAAAAAGAAAATCCAAAGAAACTAAAATTGAAGGTGTAGTAAATTTCCCCAAGAGAAATAGGTTTTTTAAAATAGCAACCCATTTAAAATGTACAATTCAATGGTTTTTAGTATTTTTACAGTTGTACAACCACTACCATAGTCAATTTTAGAATTTTTTCATCACCCCAAAAAGAAACCCTGTAGCTATTAGCGTTCAATCCCAGTTCTTCGCAAACCCTCCAGCCTTAGGCAACCACTAATCTACTCTCTGTTTCTGGAGATTTGCTTGTTCTAAATATTTAATATAAATGGAATCATATAAAATGTAGCCTTTTGTGATTCACTTCTTTCACTTAGCATAATATTTTTAAGGTCCAGCCATGTTGTAGTATGTATCAGCACACTTCATTCCTTCTTATGGCCAAATAGTATTTCATTGTATGGATATGCCACATTTTGTTTATCCATTGTCAGTTGATGGATATTTGGATTGTTTTCTACTTTTTGCATATTAATGAATAGTCTTGCTGTCAACATTTGTCTACAAGTTTTTGTGTGGACATCCGCTTTCATTTCTCTTGGGTGTATACCTTGCAGTGGAATTGCTGGGGCGTCTGGTAACTCTACATTTAATGTTTTGAGGAGCTGCCAGACTGTTTTCCAAAGCGCTGCACCGTTTTACTTTCCCACCAGCAATGTATGAGGGTTCCAGTTTTTCCACACCTTCACCAACACTTCCGTTATCTGTCTTTTTGATTATAGCCATCCTCACTGGTGTGAAGTGGTATCAGAAGGAATAGTTTTAATTGTGATATTTGTAATCATAATTTCAGATATATTTTTGGGGAACAGATAATCCCAATTTCATACAAACTGACCCAGATAATAGAAAAAAAGGGAAAGCTACCCTGCCTGTTTATCAGATAAATTTAGTGTTGAAACCTAAACTGGAAAGAATACAAGGGAAAATATATTACATTCAATCTCCTTTATGAACACAAGCATAAGAATTTTAATTAGGATAAGAATGTAAGCATAGTTTAATTTTTGAAAATCATGTCAATGTAATTTATAAGGTAAAATTTAGGGAAAAAATCCTGAAAGATTTAGTAAAAGTATATGATAAAATGCAATACCCATTAATGTTTAAAACAAAAAAAAGTAACACTCAAATCATGAAGAGAAATGAAATTTTTCTTCCAATAAAGGCTGTCTTTCAAGCAGCAAGTGTCATGCTTAATGGTGAAACCTTAAAAACATTCCCATTAAAGTTAAGAATAAGACAAATACATCTCTACTAGAAGATAAGAAAAAAAATCCAAAAGGATTGGAAAGAAAGACAAATGAGATGAACATAGCACTCGTAAAAAAAAATCAAGAGTGTATTAATAAGAGAATTCAGTGTTACTAGATATACATGATGAACATTCAAATTGGCAACAGCCAATTAGAAAATAAAAAATATCTCCTTTACAGCAAATTCTATAAAGTATCCAAAGTTTTATTGAAGGACATAAAATTAGACATGAATAAGAGGCAGGCTATACTATATTTATTTACAGGTGAGAAATATAAATATTACTAAAAAATTACTTTTCTGTGAATTATGTATAGTTTTAGACAAAAGTCTCAGTAGGATTTTTTTTGTGAAAAATGACGTACATATACAAAAGTAAAGGCACAAGAATGACAGAGACGCTTCTGAAAGAATAAAAAGGACAAAGAGGAGGGGATTGCACTGTTGAATGTCAAGACTAACTTTTAAATTATGGTATTTAGAATGGAATACTACATAGCAATGAACAAGGATAAACTCCTACACACAACATGGGATGAATCTCCCAGACTTAATGTTGAGCAAAAGAAGTAAGACACAAAAGATTACATATTGTATGATTTCATTTAGAGAAAGCTCAGAAACAGGTAGAACTAATCTGTGGTGATAGAGATTGCAATAGTGGTTATCTTGGAAGCCTGGTACTGATTGGGAAGTGGTATGAGGGAGCGTTCTGGAGCATGAGAAATGGTAATACCTTGGTCTGGATTGGATCACACAGGGATATACGTATTTAAAAGTCAGGCTGTACACCACATTTGTATACTTTACTGTATGTAAATTATACCTCAATTAAGAAAATAAAGGGGCTGGCCCAGTGGCGCAAGTGGTTAAGTGCGCACACTTCGCTGCGGCGGCCTGGGGTTCGCCGGTTCGGATCCCGGGCATGCACTGATGCACTGCTTGGCAAGCCATGCTGTGGCGGCATCCCATATAAAGTAGAGGAAGATGGGCACAGATGTTAGCCCAGGGCCAGTCTTCCTCAGCAAAGAGGA